ATTGAAGTGTTTTACTTTTTTACTTTGATTTTTATGACTTAAGTTTTGCTTGCCTCGAATCTAAGGTACTCAGTAAAAATACCAGAAGACACACTATTATGTGAGCTATTAATAATACAGGGCAGAGATCTGTAGCATAGTTTTATGCTCATATTTTATTAGTAGTTCAGATATCAGGAAACATCTTCTTTGTGATTTTAATCTAATTTCTAATCTACTTTAGCAACCTAGAATTCATCTTCCAGTTGTTTTTAATGAATATTTTAATATACCATGTCTGTTCTAGTATATGGCTTTAAGCTGATGTTAAATCCTTGCACTGTGCTAATGTTTAATATATATTTCTTGTGTTTATATTAAATTTACAAATGTAGGTTGGGCTTTTATACACTAATCTACCAAAACTAATGAAATGTCACTGGAGGTAAGCACTGAACTTCCTTGCAGTCATTCAGAATTTGCAGCTTTAATGAATTTTAAAAAGGGAACTATCGGGTCTAATCATACTTCTAGCACTGAAAGAATTTTAAACACTGCTGAAATGTAACACAAAACCTCAGCCTCCAGAAAATGTCATTTTGACTCTTTGGAAGTTGCTGAAGCAAAACAAATTTAATTTTACTGTACAGAATTTAGTTGCTAAAGTAATTAAGATTGCTGTGCACACCAGCCAGAGTCCCCAGGAAGCAAGTGAATACTTCAACCACCTTACAGCACTTCTATTTCAGTCTCTGTCAGTATCTATTTTATCCTAGCATCTTCCTTGAACACCAAGATGATTTCATTTACATATGTTTATTCTTTTACAGAGCTTTTGGGGTCTGTGCTTTGTTTAGTGTATTCAGGGTGTTTAAAAAGATGATAGAAGCCTGACATTATTAGCTGTATGAAGAACGGTGATTTGTAAAACACAGTATTTTTGAGAATAGCATGTATAGGTACCAAGACAGTACTTGTTTTTTCTTTAATTTTGCTGTTATGAACTCACTTCAGAAATATGGTTTGCTTGCTGTTCATAGTTACATCCCAGCTAGAATTTTATATGATGCCAGAGTGAATGAGGTGCTGTTTTTTAATAGCTGTGCTAACACTATCAGTTTTTAGAAACCTTCCTCTGGAGGCCAAAAATGTAATCTGTGGAGAAAAGATTTTCACATATTCTCTCCAGGACTGTGTTGGTAGGACTACTGATACGAAGATGGACAGAGAGAGCCATAAATCTGCTTTATTTTGGAAAGCTCTATGTATCATGGGGAAACACTACTATTGCCCAGTTAGATATTGGCAGTTCAAAGCAAGATGGTCAAAGCCATGATTTAACCCTTTTAAACTGTGAGCAGTCAAGCTGTTTAACAGACCTTTGTACATATCTAGAAAGTAGAGAAACTGCTACTACCAAGTTCTGAAGTGGAAAGGAATTTTCTTAATTACAGATTTTACCATATAGATTGTACATATGAAATAGTAAAAAATTAGTGGGTTTAAGTCTGTACATTTTCCTCCATAGTACTAAATAATAATTTGGCAAAATAAGCTTCTCTTGGGCTGAAAATCTGTTTTATTGGATAATCCACCATTTGCAGAGAACAGATTTGTATTAAGGAACAACCTTCCCTTATTGTTGCTATCACAGAATTTTTAAACTGCAAAAGAAACCTTCAGAAAGAAAAACTAAGAGAACAGTTTCTTAAATTATTTGTCTTAAGATTTTTGATGCTGTGCATATTGTTTAGAATAAAAATTTTCTCTTCCTGGTAATTCCCTTAAGCTGAATCTTATTTTTAACCCCAATTATACCACACCTTAATTTGTGAACCAAATTAAAGATTTTATCAATGTAATCTTTTACATTCTGCATCCTTAGGATCATTGTGGAGAGGGACTTGAGACCTGATCTGGTGGGTTTTTTTTCCTTTCATTTCCTTGTTTACTTCATTTGTTGCAGTTGGGCAATAGCATTTTTCCAAAGCAGTTGGAGATGAGGATTTGTGATGTCTGATGCCAACCTGAGACAACAGGAAGAAGGAAAGGGGTTTAGGTTTGGAAGGGGTCATCCATTATCAGTAATTCTTTGATTAAAGGAAGTTGTTCAGCATTCCAGACTTGCAGCATGCCTTTGCTTTTATGGATTACCAACTAGTTATAGCTAGAGGTCAGGTTTTTGTGTATTTGGTTTGATGTTTCCATAAAGTCCGATTTTAGGTTGCCTGATAACATGATATTTTGTATCATCTTTTGTATAATCTGAGTGTGGTTCTTTTGCTCTACTGTTTATTGCTGGTTTTAGAAGTATCTAAAGTATCAGTATTTACCAGAAATACTTTTTATTTAAAATTCCAAAACTCTTAAATTGCCAGTGTAGTTTTCTGACTATTGCTGTTAAAGTGTGACTTCAAGAGAGCTCAAATTTTCTGTAGCTTTTATTTCTTTTTTACTTGATCAACTCAGAAATTGAATACTGAAAGTAGGCAGCTATTATCAAAGGTGACTTAAATGTCTTGGTACCCTGTTCAAAGAATTTATATGCCCTTTGTGTCTTGTTTATACTGAAAACACACAGTTTATATTGAAAATGTGAGCAGTGTTACTAAGGGTGCCTGTTATTCCAGACTATATTTTGGTTTCTCATGTCTTCAGTTCACATTGTTAAATTAAAGAGATTTTAAATCTTCTCACTGTATATACATATACAAGTTTTTGGTGTGCCATTTTTGTAGCTGGCATTTGAAATTTAATGGAGGATATGTAGCTGATCCCACTGTAAATGTTCTTGACCGGTTCATAAGCATTGGCCATCAACTCAATTTTCTGATAATTCTTTCACTAGAGAGTGTGACATCATTTAACTTACACATGATTGAGTGTAAAATTGTGTTTTACTTCTTGCAGGTCCTCACACCCTGTTTTGACTTTTTTAGTGCTGATTAAATGGATATTATTCATCCCCTCAGCACCTTCTTCATTGTTTTGGCACCTGTTGGTTGTACCCTATAGACTCAGGAATGTGTGTTATCTTTCAGCTTGTCAGAGTGGAAAAGAGATGAAGGTAGCTTTGAAAAGGGTCAGTGTTCAGACAAGCTATGGCCAGTACAACTTGAATTAAAAAGAATTTGAATTATCTTCCATCCACAGTTAAAATAGTGGTCTTTGCAATTTTCCTGTTCCTAATGAGGCTTCCTTTTTGGGGATTGGTATTTCTTTACAGAGAAGTTGCCTTTTCAGAAGGGGAAATGTTGCTTTCTGAGGATCATTTTGCCAAATTTTTATCCACCTTTCTCTGAATTTCACAGAACATTTTTTTAAGTGGTGCTTTATATAACCCTGTCTAAATGCTTATTTTATGTGGTTTTATTCTTTGAAAAGCTGTTCTAAACTGGGCACTAACTGAAGGCTTTACAGGCACTGGGTAATTGTGGGGTACTTGCAGTACTAGCCCCAGTACCATGTAGTTTTTGATCGGCTTTTTTTGCCTAGATTTTTTTTCTGAATGTGTGAATGTGGAGCCTTGGATGTTGAACATATCAGTGGAGTGCAATTAAGTGTCTTTTAAGGTCAAAAAAAGAATTTTTACTACTACAGAAATGCTTTTATTTAAGTTTCTTCTTGGGAGGGTTTTAGTAATAACTATTTTAGTAGCAGGGGCTAGACAGGAAACAAAGAAAGGAAATAATTTTGTTGTTGCTGTATGTTGTGTTCTACTCCTTATGAAAAGTGAAAAACTCTACATATTTAGAATTGCAAGCTGGCAAAAACTTGTGTAGGAGTTTCTAATGCTGTTCCTCCCAAACAGAACTATAGACTTTTAATTTTCGGCTTAATTACAACATAAACATCCTTCCCTTCCTCCTCCAAACATAAACCTTTGGTGTAAGAATGTTGGTGATTTTGGGTTTTGGTTTTTTGTTTTTTGTTTTTTTTTTTTTTTGTCATATTGCTTCCAGTATGTAATAAAACTTAAGAGATATTTCCTATTATTTCCTTTCAGTAAATTTAAAAAAAGTGATAAAATGTACCTTGAAAAATTAAGTGTATTGGTAATATAGTATGCAAATATTTGTTAATTTTATGACCTTTTAATTGGACAGATTGCAGATAACGCATCACTGACAGAAAGGCAATGTGGTATAAAACACACAGTTGCATGTGTTATGTTTAAGACATGAGTGGTTATATTTATTAGAACACCTAAGCTTTTTAGCCTGAATCATCAGGAATAAGAAATCAGATTAAGGTGTGTATAGTATAGTGGAATGTCATACTTGACTGCAGAAATTAATTATTATTCTCTGACAAATCTGTATGTCTGTACTCCTACACAGGGATTTTAACTCTTGTGTTTAATCCTTCCTGCTTTAATGCATACCTATAGGAAGTATTAACAGTAGCTGCTAACCAGAATTGTCCAAACCCTTATCCTTAGGACTTTATCTGTACTTGGAATTGTGTAAGTGCAGCTCATGTCTGCTTTAGATAGTATCTCTCAGATACCTGTCTTCTCTGAATCCAGGAAGCAATGTTTACATAAAATGCCTCAATTTATAAACAATAAATGCAAATATCTTTATCTGTGTTTAGCATACTCAACTTCTTATGAACATGATGTTTTTAACAAGTTTTTCATATTTAGTGTTTGTAGTATTGTAAGCATGGTTTGCCTTGGAATTTTTAAGAATGAAAGTACAAATGAAGGCTTGAGTGAGAGCTCTCAGAAAACTGCTTATTTGCAGTTGTATTAAGTACAGAATTACCATGGTTTTCACTGGGGAATACAAGAGATTTTAACATCAGTTTGAACACTCCTCCTTTTCTAACATTGGCACCTGAAGTTTACCAAAATATGTGAAATAGATTTTTGAGGATTCTGTAGTTCTTAGTAGGGAGAGAACCACTGTGTAAATTTGGACACAAAGTTCCTTTGTTCTGGTGCCTGGGGATCTTAGGTGTTTTCTTATTGGTCCAATTACTCACTAATTTCTTTTCTTTTGAATTTCTGTCATTAGATTTTCCTTCTGGATGCCTCTACAAGCATCTTGTGATGGAAGGGAAATATTTTTGAATTTATAATGGATTTTACACAATATCGTAACACAAACTGGCCTAATAGCAGCATTTTGGTTTGAAGAGAATAAGCGTAATTACAAATAATCATGACAACTTCTCATATGAATGGACATATCACAGAAGATTCAGACAATGAAGCAAAAAATGTGGATCTTGTGTCTCTTGAGGAACCTCAGAAGCACAGAGAAATGGCTGTTGACTGCCCTGGGGACCTGGGCTCCAGGATGATGCCCATGCGGCGCAGCGCTCAACTAGAGCGAATCCGTCAGCAACAGGAGGACATAAGGCGCAGACGAGAAGAAGAGGGAAGGAAACAAGAACTGGACCTTACTGCTTCCATGAGGCTAAAGAAACTAGCACAAATTCCTCCTAAAACTGGAATAGATAACCCAATATTTGACACAGAAGAAGGGATTGTTTTGGAGAGTCCTCATTACACTGTGAAAACACTAGGTAGGTAAAATGCAATGAGTGGGCTAACAGAGTAAAGATTAATATCATATTAACGCTCTTTTAGGCCATTGAAAACCTGATTTAGCTAATTTTTCATAAACAGATTTAAAGTCTTCTGGTCCTTTAGATTTGTGTTGGTTTGGGTTATTTTTATTTAGCCGAACATCAGGCTATCATCAGACTTTTCAAAACTGATCCATTTCGGGAACAGTTAAGTATCTTGTGGATAATAATTAATTCAGTCAATGTCTCTATCTTCTTATGGCTGGGAAAAACCATCTAAGTAATACCCAATTTTATGATTGTTGAACTTTAGACCAGAATAAGGAGTGAATAAACACAAATCATCATTTAAAATAAAAAAGTTGCTGAGGAGGAACATGCTACTGCTTTTTTCCCATTCTGTCTTGCATTATCAGTTGCCACCTAATATAAATGTCACACCAATAGGTCTCTTAAAGTATTGGTGTTGATAATGAAAATCTGCTTAGGCATTGATGAAAATGTAATGTTAATAATTTTTGAAGAAATGGATGTTGCAATTTTTCATTTCGTAGTTGTCATGGTTTTAACTATGCTTGTTTAGAGAAAGTTTCTAACATTTCTTCCTCAAACATAAGTATTTTAAATAAAATGTGTCACTGGAGTGAAAAAGATGCACTGGGAATCTGTGGGAGTCCAGTTCATACCAGTTCAGAGATCCATACCAGTTCAGAGATCCAGATTGCTGTAAAAAAGCAGTCTTTTTCTCTGGGCCATAGTAAAGTTTCTTGGTTTGTTTTTTTTGGTTTTTTTCCCTATTGGCTGTTAGTTGAGAATACAGAATGAAAAATAGCTATAAAATTGCTAATTTCTTCTCTTTTACTACATCTCTAGTATTTGTGTGTCTGAGCAGCAGTTGTGCTAAAGACATGTCTCTGCTTCATAACCTCTGGTAATCCTTATTGTACAAATCCCTCTTTAGGAAAATTTGGATTGAAAGGGTCATCAGGAAGTCATCCTGTTCAACCTCCTGTGGAGAGCAGTGTCAGTTACAAATACGTAAAAAGGGTGTACCTTTTTTAGTGCATGGCTTGTCAGCTGAGAGATCTGTTTGTAAGAAGCAGATTCTGTAGTTAACTTTATAAAGTGTTAGGTATTTGATTGTAAAATTCTCTCCTTAGAGGGAATGCAAAGCAGAAGATACGAAAATGGATGTCAAACAGTAGAAGTGTCCTCAGTTGGGACTTGCTTAGCCACAGCAGCCAAAAGCTGTGAAGACTGCTAGAGGAATTGGAAATTGAAACTGAAGAAGGGAGGAAAGAATGACTTGGAATTAGAAAGCTGGGGCTAGGTTTCATGCTGGAGGTGCTGAGATCATGGAGGGAGGATTGGTGCAAACCAATGGGCAAAGCAGCTACCCATGGAAGCTGGTAGGGATGAGGAGTAACATACATCTGACGTACTTGAGAGCCAGCTAGGAGCTGGTGTAAACTGAACCTGTTTGAACAGGAGAAATAACAGTGAAGAAATTACTGTGATGATGAAAGGTGGGTTTTTAAATCTCTCAGTGGGGAATTTAGAAGGGTACAAGCTGTGGGAGAAGCTGAGGGGTTGTCAAAGTACTTGTGAAAAGCTGGAAGGAGAAAACTAGTTTTGGCTCAGCAAGAATAGAAGATGGGAATTTGGTATTGAATAGAAGCTAGGATTCTTTGAATACTAGGTGTAAGAGGAAAAATGCCAAACATCAGGGACAAGACTATAGAAGTGTGTGTATGGAAAGAGGTAAATTAGGACATAGTACATGGTATAAGGTGCATCTTGAAGAAGAATGACTAGGTGACTTTGTCTACTTTTGTAATTTAAGTTTGGGTCTTGTCATTTGGATCAGTAAACTTAAGATTTGGCAAGAGAGGATTTATAGTTCAGCATTCCAAGAGCCAGCAGTGCCTTGGTGGCCAGGAAGGCAAATGGGATCCTGGGCTGCATTAGGAAGAGCATTGGCAGCAGGTCAAGGGAGGGGATCCTGCCCCTCTGCTCAGCCCTGGTGAGGCCTGACCTGGAGTGCTGTGTCCAGTTCTGGGCACCTCAGGACAAGAGAGACAGGGAGCTGCTGGAGCTGGTCCAGTGGAGGGCAATACGAGGGCATTTCTTCTGGGGTGAGGGTGCTGGGCCTGTTCAGCCTCAAGAAGAGATGGCTGTGAGGGGACCCTCATCAAGGTCTGTTGGTATCTGAAGGGAGGGCTCCAGGCTCTTCTTGGTGGTGGCCAAGCAATAGGACAAGAGGCAATGGGCAGAAACTGATGCACAGGCAGTTCCACCTGAACATGAGGAAGAACTTCCTTACTGTGTGGGTGATTGAGCACTGGAACAGGTTGTTCAGAGAGGCTGTGGAGTCTCCCTCACTGGAGATATTCAAGAACTGTGTGGGCACAATCCTGTTCCATGTGCTCTAGGGTGACCTTGTTTGAGCAGAGAGATCAGACCAGATGACCCACTGTGGTCCCTTCCAACCTTACCCACTATGTGATTCTGTTATTAAGAGTAGTGCTTTTGATTATACACAACTATGATGTTGAATTGTTGCAAACATCAGAAAAAATAGTTCTAAATAAAACACTTTTATTATGAATGGAATAGGTTTTTTAACCTATATAGTCCTAAAGATCTGTATTCAGTCACTAGTGTTTGTCAAAAACTGAGTTAAAATTTAAATTCAGTGGAGTGCTCCTGCAGTTACTTGAACTCTTACAAAATTTCCTTCTACTCTTAAGTATGGCCTTTTTCCAGTTTTTGGGTTAACCTTTCTAACATTTGTAACACAAAATCTGGCTCTTCCCTCTTTCTACTTTTACTGTCCAGGTTGAAGTGCTTAGTCACATTCACAAATCTCTGAGATTAGTTAGGAAGAGCCCAAATAGTGAATTACAGAGATGTTTAACTATCCTTCTTTGGTATTTTTTAAAATACTGATTTTAATTTTGATTTTGTGTGTATGTGTGTTAATCCTTAGAACTTTTCCTGAAGATACATCTTTTAAGTAAGAATATTGATCTGTGTGCCTGTATTTTTAGTTTGGAAAATGTTTTGAAGTGACAGTGTCTAATTTGGCAGATCCTTGCCAAGTCTTTAATTTTTTTATCACCATAAAAGAAAGCAGACTAGATTAAAGAATTTGGAATTTATATATAAAAATAAAGCAGATTTAACCAAAAGAATTTCAAAGGGCATGTTTGTTATCAAAACAGTATATGGTTTAGACAGCTGTTTAAATGGAAATAGTAGTCTGCACCTAGCAGATGTGCACATAAGGATTTACTGTCTTTTCATAGCAATATGCTTCCATAAAATGTAGACTTCTTTGGTTTTTTACAGTTCATTCAGCTAATTTAGTTAAATGAGTAACTGACATTTCATGGAAGTAAACCTTTCCAAAGTAAGCCCTTTCTGGCGACAGTGATGACCTTTTTTTTGTTTATTTTTGTTTTTTAGCTGCCTATTTTTTTCTTTTATACCTTAGCCAAAACTTTTTATAAATATCTTAAGAATAAAATTTCTGAAATATTGTTTTACCTTAAACTACTTTTTCTAGCCATGTGATTCAAGTTATATTTGAAGCATTAAAGTGCTAGTACCAACATGTAGTTTACAGAAAAGTCTGGGAATGAAGACATTGATGCTGATGTATAATAAAGCCTATCTCCTTAAATCTGCTCTTCTTAACTTTTGTTTAAGGTGATAAAAAGCATCTATCTTCTTTTCTTCATTTTCTAATCTAGCATGTTAAGCTGTGACTGCACGTCCTCCCCTGCAGTTGCATACTTTTGCTGTGGCAGTCTTTTGATTAATGTGTATATTCTCACAGTGCTCAGTCACATTCCAGCCATTTCATAGTCTAATGGAAAAAGGCTGCAACACTTCTTGTAAAAGACTGCTTGACAAAACCCAGTATTTGATCGCTAATTGATCTGCAATTGAAAAATGGACTTGTTCTGCAAAAGAACCCTGACTTTTCTGTGAGTAAATGCAGATGTTGGTCTTACTGAACGTTTTTTTCTTCAAGACAGCCCTTTTAATATTTTAATAGGAAGTATCTGGAGTCTTTTGTTACCTGGTGCTTTTTTAAATTATTGTTACTTTGAAACCAACCAAAAAAAAAAAAAAAGAAAACCAAACTGCACAAAAATTTCATCTGTAACGTTATTTCTGTTTTATAATTGTGTTGAGGTGGGTATTTGTTTACTGTTTCATAATGGGGGGAAATCACTTGGTATAAAGCCTTGGTATCCAGTAGATGAAGCCTCAGTGTAGAAAGGAATTATACAAGGAAGAGAGTACTGTGGTTGTTTGTAAGAAAGGACAACACAGAAGGAATTAGCAAAGGGCTAAAAAGACAATATGTAAAGACATCTAGGAACAGGATGTCTTTGTTATTGATACAAAGCAAGATGTCTGTCTTTCTGTATGAATTCATATCTTACATGCAAGATGTATTAGATTTGTGGGTGTATATATGTGTATGTATTTGAGTTTTCAGATATGTAAGAGTGAGTTCAGAAATAATGGAGTAAGATAATTAATGCATAGGAAGAGATAAAAGAAGTGAGGTTCTCTAATATATCACTGCTTTTTTAAATCAAATAACCATAAAAAATAGCAGAACTTTGAGTTGATATGTTTTTTAACCAAGCAGGGGTCAGTAGGAGCTATACAATAACATCAGTTTCACACTTTTTTTTTTTTTCTTTATGCTTGAAAATAGTGCACTTCCTCAGACTTGGGAGAATGAGTTGAGGAGATACTTCAGTACTGTGAATTCTCCATTAGATGAGAATTTTGCCAGCTGACAATGTCCTGTTTAGCAAATAGTCTCACTTGTAGAGTGCTCTTTAGCCTTCTCTCCAAATGGCATTTCTCCCAGTGTGATAAGCAGTATATTGTGTATACAATTTCCTTGTGAGACATTGGCTGCTGTAATTAGTGTTGTGAGCTGTACTGGGTATCAGCAGTGGAATATCCTGCACATCCACTGTACAAGCTTTCTGTGCAGCTTTTGTCCTACTGCCCTTTGTTTCCTTGGTGGTTACAGGAAGAAGTCCTTGACCTTTGGTGGGTAGGATGTTTTTAGCGTGTGTGAAATGGTTGTGGACGGGTTTCTATTACTATTTTTTATTGTCCTGCTGACAGTAAAATACAAGAGTAGCAGCCCTGGCTTGTTTGTTTCCTTTTATAATACAGAAGACTTAACTTGCAAATTTGACAGCTTGTTCATGGTTTGTCCGAAATTAAAACAATTAAACTTGTTTGAAATACATATTTTATTAGGCTTTATGACTTTCATGTACCCATTTCTCAACCATTTGTTATGTTGTGCTAAAAAATTTTGAGTCTAGGCTTGTGTTCAGTGTGCTGATGAATCTGTGGTTAAAAATATGTAAGGGAAACTTCCTGACAGAAATACCCATGTTAGTGATCAGTATCTACTGTGATTTTTCATGTTAAAAAATGCAGCTTAGCTGATGTCCTGATAGTGTTCCTAGTTTTATTAGCTGATAATGAATAAACGAAGGTTTCTAAAACTTGAAAATTATTCTCAAAAATGGTATTTTGGTATCAGTATCAACTGAGAGTTTTAAAATTTGGGATTTTCTTTATTGTTCATTTCTTTAAATACCAGGGTTCAAACATTCTGCTTACTTGAATTGACTAAAATGTAAGATAGCTGACCAGCTTCTTGTGGCTGAACAGTCTTTTCAGATAATATGTGAAAACATGTATGTTATTTCAGGCTCCAAACATGCATTGATTTTTGTCTGCTTCAGAATTTCTTACCTGGGTTTGATTCATGTTCCTTGTCTTAGGAATTTTGAGAAGTGACCTATTTAGCAGAAATTTGGTTTGGCTTAAAATAATATAAAAGTCTTCAAAAAGCACTTGTAAAACATCAGATCAGTTCTTGAAACTCAAGAATGTAGTACATGTATTATGCAAACATATAGAAAGTGGTTATTAAAATGTTAAAATACTTTACTGTCCAAGCCGGAGTCATATTTGTGTAGATAAAAGATGTGGACTTTCTTTTGCTGTAGATATCTTTGAAAACTCACAGATGTTCATAGATGATATTTTTTTCATCCTTTTTATTTTAACATGCTAAGACTGAGCTCAATTTTATGTTAATAAATTGACTGTAGTTTACTCATCAAACATTCATTCCATTAGTAAGCAATATATAGTTGAGATTCATAGATATCTACCATATATGGTAGATACACACAGAAAGGTAAACCAAGGTATCCATGAATATTCAGTGCATCAAGATGAGCTTAACAATAAAGTCTTACTGCTCATAATGACTTGGGGTCTTTTTTTTGTTTTTTGGTATTTTTTTAACTCTTAATTCAGTTACATTCTGCTACAAAAAAAAAGTTGGAGTAACAGATAAATAGTAAACTTGCATCTATCACTGCTGGTTTAAAAACTGAACAGTAAAAACACTTTAGCGTAGCTCTTAATATAAATATTTAGTTATCATTCTTGTTAACTCGTATCTTATTTGTATTTTGTTATTTCTTACCTAGAAGTGGAAGAACTGTTAAATTCTCTTAAGCATATCCAGCACGTTTTGGTAGACCCTCAGAGTCAAGAGGATATCTCGCTCATTTTACAGCTTGTTCAAAATAGCGATTTTCAGAATGCATTTAAGATCCACAACGCTGTTACAGTGCACATGAACAAAGCCAGCCCTCCATATCCTCTCAGCTCCAATGCACAAGAACTAGCACAAGAGGTATGTACAGTATGCATCTCTGTGACATACATGAAACCTATAATCATAGCTACTGTTGAAATACATACTTGTCAAGCTTGTCTGAGTGACTGAATGTTGAATATGAAAGAGGTTATAATAGTCACTGATTGCAAATCTGGAAAAACCGGATACAGCAAACAGTAACCAGAAAAATATTTTGGGGGTAGGAACTCCCTCTTTAGCATGGATAGATATGTAACAGAGAAGATACTATGTTTTAACATGGGAAAAAGGGAGTGGTTGTGACAATCTAACTCCCTTTCAGTTGGTATTCTTTATTGCAAGCATTCAGGAACTGAGTTACAGTTCTCTGTTATCTTGACTCTCCTCTAAGCTGAGCCATGCTTCTTAGATTGGGAGTCTTCTCTGAAAATACAAGCATACTGGAAACAAGCCTTCTGCTTTAAAGTGAGCAACAGATCCCTTAATACTTAATTTCAATGTTTTAATTACTGCTGTGGTTAAACTTATTTTGGTCTGACAGATAACAGCTCTTTTGTAAGATCTGATACGTTTTTTAGAAATTGCAAAAATATTCTAAAGGGTCACTCAGTAACTTTAGTCACAATTTTCCAGGGACTGGTGGGAAGTATATCTTGTAGTGCAAGGTGGCTACATCTTAGACACATATGCATTTGTTAGCTTTGATCTAGGTAGCTTGAATACCAACCTGAGTGCAAGCCTAGCACTATAGTGTTCGGCAGAGTCACATCCAGGGTATAGAAAGGCTCCAACATTTAGCACCCAGCAAACCAAACTGACTCAGGTACATGGGTTGGAGTATTTCAGTATGGCAGCAGGTGGTGGGTGTTGGTGGGTTTTTGGGTTGGTTGGTTTAGGAGCTGGTTTTCTTTCTCCCTGAAGCATTTTTTTCAACAGCTTTTTCCACTCTTTCTTTTACTAGACCTTAATCTTACTAGACTTTAATCTTGTAAGCCCAGAAGCATTTTAGCAAGCTTGAAGTTCTTTTGCAGAAGAAATTACTGACTCTTGTGGCTTGCTTATTCATCAGTGTGTAGCCTAGCTCAGAATCCTTACTGGGCTTGTTCACTGTGTCTGTGAGTCTGAAGGAACCTTTTCAGTTACATTCTGTTAGTAACCTGCTCCCCCAGACATCCACTTTACATAGGCCTAATTTTGGATTTAATTCAGATAGAAGCCAGAATTTTTGAACCTCCTTTATGATACAGGGTGTTACAGATATAAACCTTAAGAAAGCTGGTTCTTTCCCTGCATGTATGCAATGACATTTTATTTGCTACTTAATACAAGTTTCCAAGAAGAAAATATGCCTAGGAAAAGTCTAGGTCTATTTCCAGACTTTTGTATTTCTCCCCATTTCTTGCTACCCCTTACCTTCTCAGCATATTCTTCTCCTTTTTTCAGGTGATTTGATAAATCCTAAAATCAGAAGGTGGTACAAAGCCAATTTTGTGTCTCTTACCAGTCATGAAGAAGGTTAAGCAAAAGGAATATATTAGATTTATCCAAAAATTTTAAACCAACAGAATTTGATCATTATCCACGAGACTGTTATATAAAAGACAAATCACTTGCACTCATTTTGACTCTTCATTTCCCATCCCTGTCTTGTCCAGCCTTGAAATTCCTGAAAACTCAATATATTGCAAATGTCTGTTCCCATTTTCAGATGTAATCTAGTTTCTCAGTGACTCAGCTTCTTGTGTATTTAAGTGACTTGTATTTTGCAATATGTTAAATAACATCCTGAAATGATAGAGCCAGAAATTCAGGACAGATATTTCTGTGTCTGACAGAAGCGTCTCGAGAGGATACCTTGAAGCCTCCATTCACGTCACTTTGTACTTCCTTGTCTTGCCTGAATAGAGGATCTTACGCTTGACTTTCAGATCTTTCATTCATTTTGGAAAGGTTTCTGTATCAGTTATGGTAGCAGTATGGGAGGAAATTATTTCTGCTCTAAAAAAGTTGGTGTTTTTATTTTGGTTTTTTGGATTTGTTGGGGGAGGGGATATTTTTTAATCCTGACAATGTGTTTATCTTGCATGCCCAAGCTTTTCCGTGTACTCTCATTTTTGGTTGTCTTTTGCTTTTTCTCCCTCTAAGGATAGGCATGGGAAGCTCCCCCAGAAAGCAGCTCATTTACTTACTTCATGGTGTTTTTGAAAAGACAGTTGCAAAAGCCTGGATTTAAGATACTGATAATATCTTGATGATAAAAGCCAGAAGGCATTACAAGAAAGAAAAATAGCAGATACATGCATAACATTAGTTTTAAATAGCAGGTAGTGCTGGTGTGCATATTTTAGTGCACAGGTCATGAGCAACAGTGTATAACTGAAACTGTTTGGAGTGTGTGTCCCAGTTTAAGGCTACAGATGTGTTTTGTTTGAGGCTTTATGCTGTAGAAGAGAACGTCTTAGCAGGAACAGGCATTTTACAACACAATTGCACAGTGCAACATGAAAGAATCTCCCTTTAAAAAAAAATAAAATATTTAGGGTTTTTCAATATTCTAATCCTCTTTAGAAAATTCTTAAAATTGGTAGTATACATGTACAATTAATTTTCCCACCAATTCTGATAACCAGCCACTAACAATTCTAGATTTTTCTTTTAAGAAAATTCAACTGAATTAAAAAGGAGGAATGAAGCACTTGAGCTTAAGGAATTTGTTTGAGGAAGCTTATCTTCATGTAATGGGGTGTACTCCAAGTCTCAAATAAAAATAGCTGGTAAACATCAAGTGTAATTAAATTGATTTTAAATCCATTTAAACTTGACCAAGATGGGGGCAAGGATTATGGGAATGTGGTCTGAATCTTGACCTTGTAAGAATATTTGATGCAGCATTCAAGACAGTTTATAACTTGGCCTGTAACAGCACGTACCAAATACCTTCAAGACATTATTAAATATACTTAATGGGCTCAGTTTTTATAGACTGTGTTCCTAAATGTTTTTTGACTTGCTATTGTTTGCTTCTGCAAAATCAGACAAATAAACCAGATCAGTACTGTTGAGGGGGATGAACTGAAAGCTCACAAATTCTGGTGTAAGTGCACTGGAATGTATCTGTATGTTCCATCTGACAGTCCTGCTCAGCTGCTGGTAAACAGCAACAGAATTTTGCAGGTGCAGTTGATTCCTAAATTCTTAATAACACTCCAACACATGCCTACAAATTTGTGGTGTGTGTAATGAAACCAAATTGATAACTTTGGCAGGGGGAAGGTTCTTGAGCTAAAGGTAACATAATTAACAATAAAAACTAATCTGAAGAGTTAAGAAAATACAGTTATTGCCACATACTCAGTGTGGCTCATCTGTGCTATATGTAGTGTGTCACTTCTGGAATGACAGACTTCAAATTTCTTAGTCAGATAAAGCTGTGGGATTTATTACCATGAGTTACAAAGGACTCTGACAAGCAGCACTACTGCTGTAATAAGTGTATAGGGCAGCCTGAAGCTTTCTTAGAGCTTCATTAAATAAACAAATGAGAGATGTATGTTTTTCTTAAAAGGGGAGGTATATTAAAAATTTTAATAATCAAATTATTCAAAGCGAAATTCAACTTGAATAAAGGATGTTTACTGCACACAGAATAACTGGTTGAACTAGATTACTTTCTTTTCTACTGTCAAATCCCCAGCCTCTGACCTTGCATTCAGAAGACTGTTCCTTGCAAGATTCCAAGTTGCTTTCTGAGTATGTTTCCTATTAAGAGATCATCAAGATTTGATAAGTAAATAAAGCTTTAAAGTTTCTTGTGGCTTCTTCAAGAAAGAAATTCAAAGTCCCTTGTAAGAGACCTTAAATAAACCTTTATGATAAAGTATTTAGAAGAATAGAAGAATCTTTTCTTTCAAAACAGAGGAAAACTTGTCAGTGAAATATGTCTTCTGCAGTGTTCTGTTTGCTATGTGGCATCCTAGAATTTAGTTTAAGCCAGGTGTAAAAGCTTCCAGTCTAATTTAGACATATGACTTAAGTCAGGACTTTGTGAAGCTGAACACTTTCTGTTCTCTGTGATTTTAAAGAAACCGGTTTTAAAAATTACTTAAATCTGGCTTCTTCTTTGATCATTTTAAGCTATACTGCATTAGCTCACCATGAGGCATGTTCTAGGGATGTCGGGAGGAAGGAATTGTAGGTTGTGCCAGGTTTATTGCAGAGCACAGGAACATGTTCACTGTGACAGTTTGCTTGGCAATGTGAGGGTCTGGCTCCATGGGCACAGTTCATTTAGTGGCTTCTAGAATTTAAAAATATCTTGACTTGGAAGTTTTCAGTGCTGTTGTCTGGTAGCATCCAAGATAGTTGTTAGCATTTCTGTAGATAATTGCTCCTAGCATAGAGGCTTTCCTAACCTTTAGATACTATTGGATCATACAAAAAGCTGAATTATTTTATTTTCTCTGAAACTTTTGGTTTCTTGATTCTCTGATGTCACATTACCTCATCTGTAAGAGTCAAAAGCTCTTGAACAAAATGTTTTCAGTTTCTCTGAAAGCTGCAGCTCTGATTCGTATGATCTACTCTTGATGTCTTTGGATTCATGTGCTGTTGCATTTGTGTGCCTTTGGTCAGATTAGGCCAGAGGATAATGGCTTTGGAAAGTATCTTCAGCCTCACCTTTACATAAGAGGACTTCCCTGCGCTTGTCTCTCTGTATGAGCATACCACTATTTTCAAGAGGTCATGGCAAGGCTCATTTGGTAACTGCATGAGAAGGAAAACTTGTTTTGGCAACTGAAGCTGCTTGAACAAAAACTATCCTTGTGTTAGTGTGGATTATTTTGGAAGCAGCCAAAGAAATCCGGTTTCCAGGGAGGGACCTTTTGAAGTTTTGATTTGTGTACTTCCTGAGACAGGAGCTCCAGGATGCACTGCAAAACCTGTCTTGGAATCTTTGGCCTTGCTCTTAGTTCAGAAAATAGTTTGTGTAATAAGAGTATGATAATCTGCTTTTAAGAAAGAGGAAGATTAATCACATTAATAGGAAATCACTGCCGTTTAAAACCCCAGCATAGTCTTATAATACACTTCATTGTGACTGACTTCACTGACATGAGATCAATAATTATTACTGTTTAGAGTTTAATATTTTTTTGTGTGCATGTCTTTGTGATAGCTGAGCTTATTGCTAATCTCTGGTATTGACAAATCTGCGTGAGGTACTGGATACCAACTTAGATTTGATAGATTATTGCCGAGGCAAGGTGTGCTGGGTTAGTCCTGTGGTCTCATTGCATGTTTTCCTAATGTGTACCAGACTAATCAATCAGCAGTAGTGTAACAACTACGTGGATATAATATACTTTACTTTCAGTAAAATGAATAATTGCAAGTAGGGAGTTGTGCTTTAATAGGAGAGGGAGGATTGATAAATCACTGGCTAGATTTAGAGTTATACTGCTTGATTTCTTTTTAGGTGCAGAGTGTTTTGAAACCCAGCCACCATAAGGATGGACAGGAGCTTAATGCTTTGCTGAATGCCCCTCACATGCAGGTAAAACAAAATGAAGCTTCTAATCTAATGGATCTATTTCTTGATGCTGTTTTCAGTGTAACTTACTTTTTCCCTTGGGCTGACTGGGCAAGGATGAATTTTATTCCTCAACCCTCATTTTTCTATATTCTCTATTCTCTGTTTTCTGTTTTTCTATGATAAGGAATTTGCACTTTCCAGAAACTAATAGAACATTTTAATGAGGTGTAGTGCATGACTGCATTCAGCCCTTGCTATGGTCTATATGTATTACAGGGTAATTTGTATATAAAAAATGTAGCAGTAGGTCAGTGAGAACAGGGCAACACATGAGCTGCTTTGCTTATCTATCTTTACCTTCAGTTGTTTCATGCTTACCTTGGGGTGGATAATGTCAATTTTGTCCTGGAATGGTAATGTAAAAGTAGTTTTCACTACAGAACTTACTCTGAGTCGGCAGACACATGCATAGTAGACCGGTGTCTGGTTTTCTAGTACAGATAAGATAGAAGTACAGTCACAGTTGTGTTCAAAATTGCTTTTTTATTATTATCCAGTCTGAATGTTTTGAAAAAGAGTAGGTGCTATGTAGCTGTGATAAGTGATTATTTTATTGCTTGAGTCAGTTTGCAATGTTCTATAACCTGCAGAGACTGTTGAAATTGCAGAATTTCATCTGTTTTGTATGCATATCAAGTGTGAATTTTTCTGTAACTGAGCTGATTATGTTTAACACTAGGCACTTCTACTGGCTCATGATAAGGTTGCAGAACAAGAAATGCAACCAGAGCCTATGACAGATGAGAAGATTTATGAGAATGTTAGCGTGTATGGAGGGGAGACTGTTAAAATAGTTCGCATTGAGAAAGCTCGGGATATTCCGTTGGTAAGTACTGGCGCTTACTCAGTTACATGTAAAGGAAAAGCCTTTTTGTCCTTTCCAGAGTGCTATGAAATGTTTGGAATCCAAATGCAAAGGTAATGTTTAACTCGTAAACACTCTCCCTCCCTCCAAAATGAGAAACAGGCATAGACAGTAAACTTGTGTTTAACTTGAGTTGGGCAGTAGCCATACTACCACGTGCAGCCTGTACAGCTTCTATCAGCTTGGGTTTTGACAGATGATCTTGTCAAGAGTCACGATCCTAAGCTTGCTGCAAGGGGGCTTAAACCTTGTGCCAGCTGGGTGTAGGTTTTTTTGGTTGGCTGGTTTCTGGTTTTGGGGTTTGTTTTGCAGTTACCATCTGCTATTTGCATCTTTCAAATAAAAGTTTCCTTAGGACTGCGTTTGTAAAAAAATAATGAATCTTATGGTGTGGAGCCATAGCATTCTTCATTCTTAGCTGTAGGTTGGAGCAGTAGTTTTTTTGAACTGGAGCATTGTGTGTATGTATCCAAGCTGTTACTTGTAATCTCTTTCAGCATAGTTTTTCCACTGGCTTGGAATATATACAATAGATGGCTTTGAGTTTCATATATGTAATAAATTCAGAATGTGTTGCTACTACACAGGGTGCTACTGTTCGCAATGAAATGGATTCTGTTATCATCAGTCGAATAGTCAAAGGAGGTGCTGCAGAGAAGAGTGGGCTGTTACATGAAGGGGATGAAGTTCTGGAGATCAATGGCATTGAGATCCGTGGAAAAGATGTTAATGAAGTTTTTGACTTGCTGGTAGGTTGGAACACTTCTTGTTTTCTTTGCAATAAATACTCATTTCATAAGTCTGAAGCCTGTTGACTCTGCTTGTCATTTTACTCATATTTAGCCTCAAAAGTATTTTCATTCTGGTAGCTGCTGTTTGTATGTGGAGGTCCATTTCAAGTTTTTTTTCTGATGCATAGGAGGATACTGATAAGTATTAATGGCAGTTATCTGCAAAAATGAAGCCTACAAATGTGGAAGTGTCAAGCTGTTATCTTTACACTTACTTCTAATGGTTTCCAAGAAAAACTTTGTTGAGCTCTGAAAAGCCATAATTTTTCATTGTTGTCTCTGATTCAGTCCACAAGTAATAAATGTGTGGCTGGTTTGGAGGTAATTTTCTTCATAGCAGCTTGTATGGTGCTGCGGTTTAGGCTGGGTTTAGACTGAAACAGTGTTGATAATGCACCAGTGTTTCAACTCTTGCTGAGCAGCACATGCTCAGTGTCATAGTGTCAAAGGCCTTCTCTGTGTCACTGTCTGCTGCCTGCAACGGGCTGGGGTGAGCAAGAGGTTGGGAGGGGACACAGCTGGGACAGCTGACCCAAATTGACCACAGTGATGGGAATGGCCATGTAACATCAGGCTGAGCAGTAAAATCTGTGTGGTGAGTGATTGCTTTTGCATCACGTGTTGGGTTGGGGTTTTTCCACTTCACTTATTAGACAGTTTTTACCTTGATCCGTGAGACCTTTTTTCTTGCATTTGGTCTTCCAATTCTCTCCCTCAAACTGCTGGGAGAGAGGAGTGCATTAGGAGCTGGTTGGTGCTTAAGTTGCTGGCCAGACTTAATCCACCACAAAATGTATCACACGGGACCTTTATGTGACTAGACTTACTGCTCTTTCACTCCTGAGACAAGCTTTTTTGTCTAGCAGTTTACTGGCATGGATGTTTTCTTGTCTATTACACCATTCATGACAGACTTATACTTAGTTTAAAAGCAGCTAGGCAAGAAATCCATCAGGAATTAGTAAATTAGAAGTACTCCCTTTCAAAAAGGCCATGTGAGAAAAATGTCAAAAGCTGGCAATTACCACTAATATTTTCTGTTGCCCAATTGCATTTCGTTCATGTTTTTCCCTGGTACCTGCTTTGGATCAGTATCCAAAACATCTGAAACCCAACTCTGAATCTTTGGTCCAATTGCAGCAGGCAAGACCATTCTGTCAAAGTGGAAACAGATTAAAATCATACTTTTTTAGAGGTTAATTTATAACTTCAGCACAAAACATTGGAAATATCAACTAGGACTTACTTAGCAGGGAGTTTGGGGGGAAAGAAAAAGAGGAGAAACATTTAGTAGATCTTCAAATGACTAGCTTTATGCTCTAGAGAGAAATCAGAATCAGGACAAAGACTTAGGTTCAGCTGTAGATTGAGTATTGTAGGAAGGACAGACTGCAATATCCATGGATAAGTTGTCTTATGATACAGTAAGACTGGTTTTAATGGATGGTTTCCATCTTCAGCTGGACTTCTTTCTAAATTTTTTCACCTATTTCATACAGTGAGATCAAGTGGAAGGAGGCAGATGCAGAAATGTGTGAGGTTTGGGGGTTTTTGTTTTACCTTTTTAAATCAATTATGAAGATGCTTACAATTCTCTGAGAAGCCTTAAATATCCGTGGATATTTTGGATCAGATCTGAGATTTGTCATGTTTTGAAATTGTCTCCATTGCCATCTGTGTTTCTTAAAGCCACATTTAGCTAATATGCTTCTGAAAATAGTGTTTTGGAGGTGATTAACAGCTAGTTCAAGTCTGGCACTTCAGTTCTCTGCGGAGAGCTTATTCTGCTCCTGAGCAGCTCCTGCAGCCTAGGGTTAAAAAACAAAAGGTGTAAAACCACAATACATTTAGCATAAGAGAAAATCAATTTGCTGAAAATTAAAAACAAAATAAACACAACCTTGTGTAATTTTTAAAATATATTTTTAATGAAACTAATTTAAAATAATACTTTTAATCCTTTATATGTCATTATTTTTATTTCGTAATCTGGAAATGAAGTTCTGAAGTGCTTTAGACCCCCCAAAACGCTTCAAACAAGGACAAGAGAAATTCCTTCCTTAGTTTTGCTTCACTGCTTGCTACTTGAGTGATCATAAACTTGACTTACACGTGACTTTTGGACTAGGCTACTCACATGATCACAGTGAGATTATATACGTTCCTTGTGGAACTATGCATGCTGACTGAAAATCATGGACTTTCCTTTCTTGCAGCCTCATCATGTTATATTCAAGTTACATTTACTTTATTTAAGCCTTTGCTTTGAATTTTTCAAGATACATGTATTTTCTTGTTTTATACAGGATAAAATGTTGTGCTATGTTTTGTAGAATAGTGTATAGAAGTGAAACACCTGTAGGCTTTGTCACAGGTTTTCACTTGCACTTCAAGATATTTTTTATGTGTGCAAACACATTCTGCAAATGGAAGTATGTAAGCAAAGAAGATAGAGATAACATTATGTTCTACTTTCTTATCAAGGATGGCTACAGTGTTGGTATTGAACACTTTACACATGTAAGATTTGAGTATGTTAGCTAAGTTTTTAAGCAGTGTTTTGTATTCTTTACTAATGCTAACAGCATAAAATTGTTGTAGAAATTCTTAAATTTGAAAGCACTGTTCCATTTAAACAATTCTAGAAAAATTGCCTATTTTTAATATATTTTTTTGTTCCTGTGTAGACCCACTCGTTGGTATTGTTGAACAGAACAAGAGAGTATTATCCATTTCTCCTAAGTCTCTGCTTGACATAACAGCATTTGCTCCATTTCAAATAGAAATAATTTGTATTCAAGAAAACTGGGTTTTTAAAATCTGAGTATCAACATTTAGCTTTGTAGTCTTACTGAACCACTTCGTCTGTATCTGTACTATATATTTTAAACCAGCTAAAGGGTAGATGATGCGCTGTTAGGGACAACTTCTAATGGGAATTTTTAAAGCACTCTCTAAAATGTATTATTTATTAAAATTCTTAACCATAAACCATATTTTAACACTGTTTATGAAGAATCTATTTTTCCTCTCAGGCTGACATGCATGGTACTCTGACCTTCGTATTGATTCCCAGTCAGCAGAGCAAGCCACCTCCTGCGAAGGAGACCGTTGTAAGTAGCTCTACAGGTGTTCTTGTGCTTGGTGGGATGTACTTGGTTTTACCAGTAGTGTGTAAAAAGTCCTTCTGCAGCTCCTGTACACTGTGGAACAAACCCAAAATGTAGCCATTTAAATTGCTTTTAATTGTTATCAGACTAACACCTGAATTAATTGTTGAAAATCATTAATGTGCTTAAAGTGAAACTCTGAGTACGATTTTAACTCAGTTTATGAAAGAAATTATAAAAGTAGAACTTCTTGTGGTTCTGAGCTTCTTATTTTGAATTTCTGTGTTTTATCTATATGTATGTATCTATTAAAAAATTTGGATTGTTGACACTTGCAAATATGCTTTTGGAGGAAAAGATAGCTTTAACAGTTTGAAGAAAGAATGCCCAGACATTAATGATTCGTGACAAAATACAGGTGAAACTTAACTGAAGGCCCAGCTAATGGGCTTCAGCCTGTGTATTTATTAGGTACTTTAACCAATCAGAATACCTCTGATAATTTTTGAATGCAGAGAACTTAAATCAGTAGCTGGGGGGGAATTGTCTCCTGCAATGGTGAGGAAATTGCATTTTAAATTCAAGCCTTTCTGCCCAACCTAGCACAGCTGTGTCTTTTCCATTGCTAGCCTAATGATTCTATTCCAGCACCTCCTGTATGCCCCAGATAAAGTTTCCATTCTGTAGAAGCTTGGAGTTTTTATCTATCGTAGCTCTAGTGCAATCACAGGAAGACAAGGTTTGATTCTTCAGAAGTCACAGGGCTGTTGCTGTTTTTCTTTTGTTTTAACTTTCTATCTCCTACAGATACACGTGAAAGCGCATTTTGACTACGATCCCTCTGATGATCCTTACGTCCCCTGCCGAGAATTAGGCCTGTCTTTTCAAAAAGGAGACATACTCCATGTGATCAGTCAAGAAGATCCAAACTGGTGGCAGGCTTACAGAGATGGAGATGAAGATAATCAGCCATTGGCAGGCCTTATCCCTGGTAAATAAAGCTCTAGAAAAAGCTTGACAATCAGTCAAGTTAGTTATAGCCACACAAGAGCAATGCTCAGGTTTTCAAAGACTTGTGTGCTCTTTAATATCTGTTGCCTTAAGCATACCTGTGTCTTTGAACCATTTGCAACAGAGCCTACTGTTGGGCATTACCATGTCTGGAGTTAAACACAGAGTAAAGCTACTGTTTTCACTGCCCCTTCAGGAGCTGCTCTCCTCTTCCTTTATTTCCTCCACCACGGGGACTCTGCAGATTCGGAGTTCCCTCTGCTGGCCGCAGCAGAGATTGTAGGACTGCAGCCCACTTGTTCTTCGGAGATGGGCACAGCTCTAAGGTTTCCTACTTTTTTAAAATAAACTGGATATACAGGATCTATTTATGATCACTTCTCAGCATGTTTTCCTTTAACAAAAGGCTTCAGTTACCAGTGACAGTCAGATTTCCTTTCTCACTGTTGAGGACCTTCGGGTAACAGGGATTTCAGGCACTGAAGTCTGTTCATAATTTTTGGATTGCAATAGGTACTGCAGCCTAGTTCATTGAAGATCTGCTGCTCTGTTAAACAGTGAACAAAAGACTTTTCAAATTCCATAAAATATAACTTTAACTTTATGATGCTTCAAGAAGTTGAGAGGAACACTGATTTAAATACAGGCCAATATTTTTTAAATCGAAGTTCAAAATATTGAATATAAATAGAATACATTTGACATACAAAAATAATTAGAAAATTACATCATCACAGTGAGGAAACTTACTCTTTCTAGTACTTTCACTTTTCCAGGCAAAACTCTAGTATACTACAAATTCTCTGCAAGTGTCTCATGATGAATTTATTTTTGAAGTAATAAATCAGTTTTGCAGCAATTCTGGTTTCTCTTTTAAAATTTCTTCTGTGTGTTGCATTCTACTAGAAACCTTCAGAGATGTAAAAACTTTGGAAAGAGTCAAATGAGTAAGTCATGATGAAAAAGCATGGAAATAATTTCTAAATGTTGATGACTCTTGTGCTTTTTTTAATGCTTCAAGGAAAAAGCTTTCAGCAACAAAGAGAAGCAATGAAGCAAACCATAGAAGAAGACAAGGAGCCTGAAAAATCAGGTGGGATATATGCTTCCCAAATAAAAAAAAAATGTCCTGTAGCAGTGTTAATTAGTGTTATATGGAACCTTGTCATGATGGAGTTGTATAGCATTCTCCTGGTGTATTTTTTTGTAATACAAGTGGGATGATTCTGTGAAATTCTTCATGCAAATACAAGTCTGAATTTAACACCTTGTTGTATAAATCCTGTGGGTTTTTTACAACTATGTGTGATGTAATTATAGAATGATGTAGAGAATTTAGAAAGCCCCTTTTGTCGTAAAGAATTTTACCTGCCATGACTTGGTTGAAGTCCTTGACATTTGCTTAATACACCAAAGCATTGTAATCAACAAAAGGATATTATACCTTTTCAAAACTGCAGAATAAATTCTCCACTTTAAAGACCCAAAACATGGGCAGAATAGGAATATTTTTGTTGTATGGGTGTTTGATTGTCATAATTTTTATTTTGGTTAGGAAAACTCTGGTGTGCGAAGAAAAACAAAAAGAAGCGGAAAAAGGTTTTATACAATGCAAATAAAAATGATGGTAAGGAACAACTTTTGTACAGTGTGTGTAATTATAAACAACTATAAAAGATTCTGCAAGCAGCCTTGGGAAGAGAATACTGAAATTTAGGATCTGATATTAGAAATGCTAGCAGTAAGTTCTGTGTAAGTAATACTGTGTTGTGTTGTAGCATTTAGTGAAAGGTGTTAAAGTGAAAGGACTTGTAAGGTCATTTAGTGTCTTTATTAAAGATCAGATGATAAGAGAAAGAAACACATAGTTCTTTTTAGGCATTGAAGCACTCATATTTATTATAGCTTTGTAATCACTGCATAATTATATTCCATAAATGGAAACTTTCTTGACATATTGTATAGGCTACTTAAACTTATGTTCTTAAAAAGTACTTTGAGATTGGGATGATGGTTGCTGCCAATGGGTATAAAGTGTTAATCTTGTACTAGAAACTTGGGTTTTTTTGGCAAAAAAAGTTGTTTCTTGGGTTTATGTCACTAGTTATATGAAGAGTAGTCAGTGGAAACATTTTTTTTTTCCCAAGAAAGGGAAAAAATTCTCATCTTACTGGGCACATGATGATCTTTGGGGTTCTGTTGCTTTGGTGACTCAGAGTAAGAGGCTGTGCAGAGTCAGGAACTGTCTGAAATCTGATACTGCATGCACTGATGATAAGCAATACATGGATCTGGCAGTAGAGTACATTGTGACTGTTTTATTGTTCTCTCTGAAGATTATGACAATGAGGAAATTTTGACCTACGAGGAAATGTCACTGTACCATCAGCCAGCAAATAGGAAACGGCCCATCGTTCTGATTGGCCCCCAGAACTGCGGCCAGAATGAGCTGCGGCAGAGGCTGATGAATAACGAAGTGGATCGCTTCGCCTCCGCCGTGCCCCGTGAGTGTGACAGCAGATAAGGTTCCTCATTCTGAACCTTGGCTGCAGACAAATCCTGTTGTGTTGGAAATAGTAATTAGGAGCTTGGGGGTTTGGCACAGGATATATTGAGCTCTTGAAAGAAGGGAAGTTAATGCAAATCCAGTGTTGCAAACAGCGTTCTGGAGGCTCTAAAAGACACGCATTTATATTGGTTTGAATAAAATTGGAGTGAGTTACAGAGGTTCAAAAAGAAACCAGGCAATATTATATTGGGCAAAAATTTTTTAATCAAATGTCCTGTGTAAATTTTTATTTAGATGGAGGTGGCTTTAGTGCCCTCCCAAACCACTAGTATTTCAGTGAATATTATATTTTTAATGTCTAATGTACTCTAGATTGCATTTACAAACAATGTAGCAATATGTATTTGTTGAAAAACAATTAATAGCTGTTTTCACATTCAGAACACAACTGCACAGTTAAAACTATTCCTTTTGTAGCTGACTGTTTTCTCCCTCTAGATAATGTAAGAGAGACCTCTGAATTGAGTTTGACAACCTGACCAAGGACATTTATTGTAGAAAACAAAATACATGGATTTCATGGATATTTCCTCTATTGGGTTGGGGAGGGTATGGGGGGTTATGTTTGCATGATTAGCAATATCCCTGCTAAGAGAAAAACTCCTTCTTTTCTTCAATTCTATACGTGTATCACCGTCTCAATTTCTTTTTTGTAGATACTACTCGGAGTAGGCGAGAGACTGAAGCAGCTGGCAGGGATTATCATTTCATCTCCAGACAGGCATTTGAGAGTGACATAGCTGCAGGGAAGTTCATTGAATATGGAGAGTTTGAGAAGAACCTCTACGGTACAAGCATAGACTCTGTGCGGCAAGTCATCAACTCGGGCAAGATATGCCTTTTAAATCTTCATACCCAGGTATGGCAAAGCTCTTGCCTGTCATGTTTTAATTGTAGAAGCTACTGTGAATATCTATAGAGCTCTATCTGGTTTATAAAATCAGTGTGTTTTCAAGATCCATATTCATGTTTATGCCAGGTCTTCTTTCAGTGATGCTCAGTTGACTCTGTTCAGTTCCTTGTTTGCTAATATGCATATCTTTATCTGTGATGCAGGTGATAGGGACCTTAGTTTTCACCAGCTTTAAGTATCTGGAAACCATCTAAATTTAAAAATTAATTAAAAAAAGATTTATGTCTCTCCATCTTCCAATTACTCTGTGATTTCTGGGGCTTTTGAAGATCAAGAGGACATTGTTTGTGATTATACTTGGAAATTGTATTTCAGGAATGTGCAGTTTCCAAATAGAGTTCAGAAATAAAGTACGTCACATCAACAGTATTTAAAAACCATTTAGCTGTGACCTTTTGGTTATGAAGAGAAAAACTATGCTTGCATACCTCAATTTGGAAATTTAGTCAAACATGGTAAGAGGCTGAGTCTTGGAATGGAGCCTGTTTTCTGATACATACAATATGTATGAGGTCTGCTGCTGTTGTAGATGCTGCAAAAGAAGCCCTGAAACTCAGCCATATCACTAAAATCTAGTAGTATTGAAGCTATAGTTAGTCATCACCAGCTGGGACCATGTGATACTTTACTAGCATAGCTCATGGGTATTGCAAAGCATGTCATGAGATGAAAATTCATAGCTTTTTAAAAATTTAAATCGAATTCTGTGGTTATAAAAATTTATCTCAGAGACAAGTTGTTTATACCAAGCCAAACCTGACAAAACAGAATACTACACACACAGTAATAGTGCATCTGATACCTTGTATTTTAATATTCAAAACAGAAAAGGTTAAACTGTAATTTTTAAATTAAACTAATACTTTAAGACTCCTCTCTGTTCAAAGCTTAGCATTACTTAGCATTGTAAGACATTTAGTTCAATGTAGCTGACCTCTGTTCCTTCAGTTCAGTTATGAAGAATGTTCTTGAACAAACTAAATAGTTGAGTTTCATGAAGTTGAAAAATATTGGAATATAAATTTAATAGGAAATGGTGTCTGAAGTCTGAATATTTCTACAGTTAATTCTGTTGCTGTTAATAAATGGTACAGTTATTGTGTTTGATAATATACTTCTCAATTATAGCATGTGAATAGTACATCAATAAATGCCCTTTTTCTGGGTGGAACTGTTAAATATTTAATCCTATTTTTGCAGTCACTGAAAACACTACGTAACTCTGACTTGAAGCCATATATTATATTTGTTGCACCACCATCACAAGAGCGACTACGTGCTTTATTGGCCAAAGAAGGGAAAAATCCTAAGGTAAGGTGTCTTAACTTCTTCTGAAACCATGCTGGGTTTGCTGAGCAAATGCACATACTCTTTCCTTGGGATGGAGACACAGGAGTGGTACTGGCAGTTATCACTGCAGCGAACCAGTGTAGCTGTGCTGCAGATTGGTAGCCAGACCATGCTAAGGAAAGAGTTCATCCAGGATGCTTTTTGTCTAAAGAGATGTGAGAGGTATTAGATAAGAGAATGCACTGCTGATTCAGTAATCTGGGGCACAGTGTGTCTGCACTGGGGTCCCTGTATTTGGGTACAAACCCACAACCTTTTATTTCAAAACTGTGGAATACCCAGTTTTGTCCTCAAGTAAACCTGGGAGTAATTCTATGGAGCAAAGGATTACTGGTTTTCATTTCACAACATACCTGCCTTTGGAAAAGCATTTACTTTATCCAGAACTCTTCATATAAAATTGTTTTAGTGCTTGATCTTGTGGGAATCACTCTTCATTTTTAAGCAGTCATGTCCAAGATCTGAGCTTAAGAGATTATTTAGTTATCAGAAGTTAGTTCTGCAGAATGGGCTTAAAAGCCAAAGATTAAACCAGGACATCTGAAAGCTGAGAAAAGTTCCTTATCAGGCTATGGAATACCAAGTACTTACTGCTAAGGCAGTGCAATAGGTTCATCATCAGCTTTTTAACTGAAATCTATCCTTTAGTGATTGGTGGGTGCCTTTGCCACCACAGTAACACAGAGTTTACTGTTGTGTCACAGTAAATCAGAGTACTGATTGAGCATAATGCAGTTCATATGAAGGAAAAACAATCTTCCCAGCATAACTCACAGTTATTCTTGACACAGCTGTTGGACACTCACTGGGATCTGTGGCTGTGTTGTTTTGCTCTCCTTGTTTGATGCAAGGGTAATTTATTACTTGTGTGCAAGATTTAAAAGTCCATTAAAGTCCAAATGTTGAAACAGAGGAAATTTCCTTTCCTCCCCTGGCCTTTGAGTCAAATATAATCATAGTCTTTAAATGGGTGTTTCCTCCTTCATGTTTATGCAATGAAGGAAACTTTATTTTATATAAATATTGCATCTTATGTATGTTCTGGATTTTTATTGCAGTAGTTAAGGAATCTCTTTGCAGAAAAAAAGAATGTATTTCTTGTTGTTACACTGTGCCTGTTTTCTTTCTGATTAATTTTATTTGAGTTGTATTTATTTCAGTTGGGTACATGCTACGGAGTTAAACCCCTTCTCTGATAAAGAAAAGAATATTTCTTGCATGTATGCCCAAATGTTGCTCTGATTTTTCAAGAGCGTGTAATGACTAAGAAAAAAGTCCTCATGGCCTGAAGTTCCTTTTAAAATGTCCTCCCTAGAATATTAACTCAAAAATTATACCTGAATGTTTCTTTATACACTATAAAAATAAATTGAGAAAAATAAACACTTTTAGAAAATAAGTGTAAGAAAAATTCTGGAATCAAAACATTTCTACTTCTGCCTTTGTATCATTTATCTACACTACAATATTCTTGCTTTTGACATATTCCCTTCTAGCTCCCAAATGGTGTTTTCAATATTTCTGCAATGTTATTCAGCTAATGTTACAGTGATTTGGTCAACTTAAATGTGTAACTCTCACTGTGTGTGGCTCTCACTGCTGTGTACTGAGCACTTGTCACCAGTGCCAGCTGTCTCCTTTGGCTGCTAGGTGAATCTGAACCTTGTTCTGCACGGTTCAGATTCTTACACCACCTCGGCCATCTCCAGTCTCCTTCAGTGAGATCAGTGTTCTGCAATGAGCAGTGCTGGATCTTCCCCCTTTTCTTCAGCCTGGGCAGTTATTTACTCTTTGCCACTCATGGCCAATCAGTCAGGATTCTCTTGAACACCCTTAGCTTTCAAATATGAATCACGGTTGAGTGTTCCTGCAAACTTTTCAACAGTCAATAGCAACACCATGAGTGTTTGTGTGAAAAAAAAGAGTTGTTCCATTTCCCGACTGTTACTGTGGAGGAGAGGCATACACACCTACACTAACTCTGTTTCTGATTGCAGCCAGAAGAGCTGAGAGAAATCATAGAGAAGACAAGGGAGATGGAACAGAACAATGGCCACTACTTTGATACAGCAATTGTGAATTCTGATCTTGATAAGGCGTATCAAGAGTTACTCCGGTTAATAAATAAGCTCGACACAGAACCCCAGTGGGTGCCCTCCACCTGGCTTCGATGAGAGCAGTTCCAAGGGACAAATGGACTTCAATCTAGTTACCTTTCCAAGCAGATCATGTGTAGGTCTGCCCAATTCTAGTAGAAATGCATGTGAGCTCTAGACCTCAGTGGCAGCATCCTTTGCCAGTGAAATTGCGTATTACTGAAAAATACGCTGTGAGTCAGCTTGTGAGCCAGTTTAACTGATCAAAAGATTGTACAAGTTTTCTTTCTCTGTGGTCTAGAAGTGGAGACCATGTCAGTACTAAATTCTAAATCTTTAGATAGATTTTTTTTTCCTAGCAACTACTTTTATACATAAATCCACTTTTTTAACTTAGAATCACCCTTCTGACAAAGATTTTAAGTGTGTTTGTGTGTATATATATATAGTCCATGCTGTCACATAGTTATAAATATGAATGTTATTTAACACTTAACTTAATGACTTTGTGGGACATGATGCTAGTTCAGGAGCATAACTCTACAGATCACTGGGCAGAGAAATACTCTACACATGAAAAATACCAATGACAAACCTCTCCTGTTCAAAAAAGTACCCAGAATGAAGATGCTGCTCTGGTCTGGAGCTGCCCTGTGAGGCTTGAGTTAATATTTTATTTCTCAAACATTCCACTTTCTAATAGCACTGTAATTGAAACATGTGTATAATGTAAATATTTCGATCCTTGTGTCTTTTTAGTCAGACTTTTAAAATCAGATTTGACTGCACAGTAATTTTAGGTCCAATCAAAGATGACTATTATATTGAACTTCTAGATGTGATATTTTTATGCTATTTTCTTTAAAACATACTGACTGATTGGAGACGCTCTTTTTCACAGACCTGTAGACGTAGAAAGGCAGAGGTTATATTTTTGTGAAAATATTTAGTTATAAGACATGCTGCTTGAAAGTCAACTAAAATTCTCATGTTTTATAACAGAATACTGACTAATACAGACTGATGTGCTGAACATGGGAAGACAGTGGGGTTTTTTAATCTCTGCAAATGGTTCATGTTGTGGCTGTTGGACTAATGGACAACTAACTGGAATTAAAATAGCTGAATGTAGCTACTGTGTTATGAGTATTATAATTCACTAGCCAACATATTGTCCTGCATTTGCTCAGTACTGCAGTGAAAATATGTGTAAAACACTGGTAACTGACTGAGAAGTCACAAGAAAGGGGAATATTTTTAGTGGTTAAAAAAAAAAACTTGAAACAAGGGAACAAAAGGTAAGGTCTGTATCCTAATGTGTTCTGCAAAGCAGGTGGGAACATCTCTGCATGCTCAAATGATTCTGGCTGTGAAAGTTTAACTACTGTGGCTGTGCATCTGCAGTAGGGCTGTTGTTGCTGACACTAAATGAATAGTAGTATCGTGGCTGGTTTGGGTTTGGGTAGCACAAAGAACCTTAACTGTGAATATTTCTTTTAGCCATAGTGTTTCTTTGTTCCTATAGGTAAAACACTGGAGTTAGGTCAATGTGTAGTTCACTCCTGTCTAATGTTTTGCATATATTCTTCTTGAAATGTTAGTGGAACAAATTCACACCCACCATTAAAGGGCTCAAAGTATAAAGCAGGTGTAAAGAAATTGTCAGATAACTGTCCTAGGTACTGAACTAATAATCAGTACATTTTTGTATTAAAAAATTGAAGTATAGAGTGCAAAATTATTCGCTGGTTTAATTAATACTTAGGGCTGAGTAGCAATTAAGCAAGTAGTGGGGATAAGTAATGATGCTTCAGAAAGAAAACGGGGTGGAAACTTGAGTATCTTAGTTCAAGTCAATGTTAGAAATAATACTGTGCTACTGTTGGCCTAAGGGCTGGATATTCAAATTACAGCTTTTTGCCTCACATTGCAGGCATGTTCTCAGTTTCATCCATAGTTTATGACAACAACAGTCTTCAGGTATATTGGAAAAACTGTATTGATTCTCCTGTTTTCAAAGAAAGATGATTATAGATGTGTTAGGGTTTTGGGTATTCAATATTTCTGGACAAGAAGGTGGAATGCAGTAGAATATGTTGAGAAAGGTTAACCTAGCTCAGCTATGTAGGTGCTGTCCAAATTCTGCCAGTCACAACCAGCTCAAGGTGGTTGCTGAACCTCCTTAGGTATTCAGTGTTTATAGGCAGCATCAGTCTCAGAAAATCATGTCATTCATGTTATTTCATTGACATTTGTCTCCCTGGTTTTTCTGAAATGGTGTACAGAATCTGTTTTTATACAAATGAGCTTTTGAATGTAGACTTAAAGCATATTGCTTGAAGTTCAGCTCTACTCTCTCAATTCCCAAGGCACACAGAAGTCACTGACATCCATAGAGAGGTGCTATGGTATCTTTTAACCAGTGTTAGCTTTGCATCCTGCAGAAGGGAAGAGCCTGAGCAGCACTGAAATATGTATCTGAATGTCCATCTGCTGCTAGCTTGGACCTGGAACTACCTTGTGTCAGAAATTATTCCGTCTTGTTTATGAAGAATGTGTGCTAGTTCCCTTGAGAATAAAAGAGCATACATAGACTTCACTGGTAAAACTCTTCAACCTTATCCCAGGCTTTGTAGTGAACTGTATCAGACTGAAATAATGGTATCTGCATTTTTACCAGTCCAGATTTAATTAAAAATAAATATTAAATGAATTGCAGAAAAGAATTTTTGAATGTAATTAAATATGACTTTTAAAATTTTAGATGGGGGGGTTCCATGCCTTAAATAATTGAGGTAACTTAACTGAGACCTGTGGTTAGCCCCACGTTGTACTTTTATACATGTATCTGCACTCTGTATTTTGAGACATCATGAACTGCACACTAATGTAAAAATGTAAAATATTTCTAGATTTAAAATAAATCACTATACAATTTTACTTCTTGTAGTGAATCTTGGGAGTCTTCTTTCTGCCACTTTGGTGGATGTGTGAAACATTCTGTGACCCATTAGTGCCCTACAGAATGTTGTGTGCACCTTCTGACACCATCCATCCTGTGGGAGAGGCAACAACAGGTCTGCAGAGCTCCAGTGTCTCTCTTTCAAGCTTGATCTGTATCTTACAACAGACTATGGACTTAGTATTCAGCTGTGCTGTCTGCAGCTTCACAAGAGAAATTACCTTATTATTCATACAATTCTAAAATTATTTTTAAAGGTGTTAATAGAAATTTATTCCTTGCAGTTACCTTTCATCTACAGTTAAGTGCTAGATCATGTTTGAAAGAAGATGCTTACCTTGAATAGATTAGACTTGCAGTAGTAGAAACCATGAACTAGGATTAGTTCTGGGTTTGCTGATTGCAAACCAGTGTCTTCAGGAAGAACACATCCATTGTGTTCAAGGAATGGACGTGGCACTTAGTGCAGTGGACTGACAAGGTGGTGATTGGTCAGAGGTTGGACTCAGTGATCTTAGAGGTCTTTTACAACCTAAATGATTCTGTGCTCATGTCTTTAGGAAATAAGTTCTTCAATCTGAGCAGGGTGATAGCCTGCTGATCAGCCACTCTCCTGGACTCCACTCATCACCTGGACATGAGAATTGCAGGAAGGATGGATTGCTGTACATTCAACCCTGCTTTGCTTGCCAGCCTACTGAAGCAATGAAGATTTGCAGCAACGTAGCTACAGCTAGCTAGATGGCTGTTTCTATGTGCTTTAGTAGTAGGAGGGAGCCACATCTCCTTAGTTACTTATATGAAGCAGTAAAGATAAATTAAATGTGGGCACAGGCTGTAACAGATGTGCTCAGTGTGGTTTCCATGTCAGGGGTAAAGGGTGAAGCAGAGGTTTTATTTTGAAATCAACACAACAAGCTTTTAAGACTGTCATCTTCTAGCAATTTGAGCTGGACACCAGGTACTTTAGCAGTTTAAATTTACACTTGTTTCTAGCATAGACAGTACACAAGTTGGCAGAACCTCTAATTAAAACGGTGGCTATTTTAGGCCAACGGTAACAATCGTGCAACAAAAATATATCACAGAAGACTGTGGATTTCATGAACAGGTTAGAAAACTAGAGTTCCCTTTAGAGGCATTTTTCAGCTGTGCCAATACTGGCTCTAAGCAATTTGAATATTACTAGTTCATCAGCACAGAATATCACATGCATCTTCCTCCCTAAGTAACGTTTTTCTCTGCTTGTACTTAGGAAGGGGAGCAATTAGATTAAACTGATTAGGCAAATCCAGAGCCATCCTTCAAAAAAATACAGCTATTAACAGTCATTCCTACTAAGTGAAGGAACAGGCTGAACATGGAATAGAAGGCTTTCCTGATAATAAAGCATCTGACCCATTTCTGCCTTTCCTCTTATGCTGTAGTCAAGTTCCCAGATTTCTAATCTCCCAGGAGAAATCCACAATCCATTCAACTCAAGACTTGGACACCAAATGAGAAGCCACATAAGTATCTTGGAGGCAACATGTCTTGAATTACATTGCAACTGGACATTCTGTATCTTGGGTCCCCTGCTCCATATACACCAACTGTGCAGGGTTACTCAAAGAGGAGGTCTTCATCCTTCTCTTCTGCTAAGAGATTGGCTGGCTCACTTTCCCCACCAGCAGCCCTCCGCAGCTCCCGCTCTTGATCAGACTTTTCTTTCAAGACTTTTTTCTTTTCCTGGATCTTTTTAAGCCTGTGAAGAGAAATGCAGATTTATCTGTGAAGCAAATGTGTTTTCATACAACAGGTTAGTAGCTATGCTATACAAGTTGGATTTGATAAAGCTACCTGGAAAAGTTCCACAGGAAACAAAAATTCTGTAATAAATACCAAATTTGGCAAAATGGCAAAAATAAAAGGCTTTTATTGCTAGCTGCTGCAATTGAAAAACTTAACCAAACTATAAATTATATTCTTAACCTTAAACACTGCATGATACTATTCTGCTTGTTTTTAATCAAGTTCATTCCTCTTTCATTCATTTCAGGTTTGACCTTTTTGTTTCAGCCCAGAATACTGACTTTATTTATAACTTTCAACAAGTAATTGGTGGGCTCTGAGTGCCCAGCTCTGGAAAAAAAATAATGAAATAAGAATGATGTCATGTTTAACAATGTTTGCTACCAGTTAACAGTTCTCTTAACTCCTTTCTGAGGAATGGTCTATTTTAGGAAGAGACCAGTCTAGTCTTTTGACTAATCTTTTACCTGTAGAACTCCTCTCGTTCTCGTTCATCCAGTTCTGTGATGATATAAGAAAGAGTACGCTCAATCCTGGGAATAATCACTAAAAATAGAAAAATAAGGAAGTTAGGTCTGCTGTTTATTAGCCAGGAAGTTATCTAATACAGTGTACAGATGTTGTTTGAAGTCAGTGTAGTAATTCTTTTGGCTAAGGGAAATCTGTCTTTCATGGAAACTCATATTATTTCCTGATGGACAAGTACACAAAATATAAAAATCCTGGGAAGTGGGCAAAATTTGAACTAAAACTATGTTCTTCCTTCACATTGTTTCAGAGACTTCTGTTCAGTGTAGCACCTTTACTCAGAATTATCTCTGTTTAAAAAGGCCATCATGAAAACAAATATTCAAATACAACACAATCACAAAAGACACTAAACACAGCTTTAACACCAAACTGAACAAGCTCTGTGTCAGAATCATTTGCTGAAAGAAGAAACCTGTTATCAGCACTACCAAAATTATTTGGAAGGCTGCAGAGGAAACCTTTTTTAAGTCAAATTCTCAGTGATAAGCTGCAGTTAAGGCCTGTATGTTCAAAGAAGTCAGTCTATGAAAAACAGTGGAAAAGGATGATTTGGAAACATGGACTGAAAGACATTATTGTGTACATGCAAAAATTATGAAATCCAGGACATCAAAACTCAGCAACTTGAAACAATCAAAGCACTCTGGACACTGCAGCAAAATGAATCACAGCAAATACTGGGATTGTAGTAGTACTTAAGAAATGTCAATAAACAAATCTACGAACAAGAACATGAAGAAAAAATAATTCAGATCAAAGGAAAATACCAGCATATTGACATAAGGACTGTTCCATGCAAAACCAAGAAGTCACCAGCCTCTCCACTGGGCATCACCATTACAGTTTT